TCTTCTCTCTCTCTCTCTCTCTCTCTCTTCTTCTCTCTCTCTCTCTCTCTCTCTCGCTTCCTCTCCTACATCACGTTTACGAAATATTTGTAATTTGTAAATTTGAATATAAGTTTCGAGTGTTGATAAAGCACCTGGATTCGACGATCGTAAAATTGTACGATTCTGGATGGAAAGAAGCGGTTTAAATGCGGGGAGCAGATTTGGTAAAATAAAAGTCTCGGTGAGGAAACTCGTTGGTACGGAAACTCAGGTTTAGATAAGGGGATATCAGAGGAAGGCATTGAACCAACGAGCGTCCAACAGCGAAAAAGAAAAAAAAAAAGAAAGAAATATTAAAGAAATAATACAAAAGATTTCCCTCGGTCTAGTTCCAGTTCTATTCTCTCGTATCTGCAGCGTCGTCGCCTTAACATTCCGCAGACGACGACGTTTCGCCCGTGCCGAGGTAACGAAATACGAACTCTGCCGCTTTCTAAACAGGAATCCTTCTGTTCCCGCCTCGGTGAATGTGTGCGCAAATCGACACGCATCCTCCTCCGCTCCCTCCATCGCTTCGATATAAAGGGATGAACGAGTTTCGCTTATTCTCGAGGAATTTCATTTAAAAGTTTCCCCCGCTCTTTTCCTTTTTTTTTTTTTTTTTTTGCTTCTTCTCTTCCCCGTGTACGTCGGAAATTTCTCTGCGATCCTTTTTTTTTTTTCTTTATCTTCCTTCGATTCGTTACCACCGAAATGTTATTCGTTTTATTTACCAAAATTTCAACGATTCAGAGTTCGAACGTATCGAGCAAACCGTCCAATTAACCGCGCTTCGACATTTATTTAATTCGTTAGTTGGTCTGGAAAGTTGGCGGGGAGTATCGTTTTCCAAACGTTGCGACTCGACGTTTTTATTTATTTTCTTTTTTTTTCGCGTCGAGATGCGCGAATGAGATATATAATCGTCATTTTTTATGGAAATTTGAACCAATTCCAAGATCGATCGATCGATCTTTCCCCCCCGCTCTCCTCTTTCCAAAACAAGCTAATTTGAACGGCATCCGACACGACGGACGATCGGACTTTGAACGTGGAATATTCGATCGGTACGAACCGCTGTGGAATTTTACAACCTCGACGAATATCGTGTCGCGCGAGATTCCACTGGCATCCAATCGATCGATTCATAAAATTTGCATTAATTTTGTTAACAAATTTCGCGCGGACGAATTCCATTCAGATTTTTTCCTCTCCATTCTCCAACTTACGTATTTATTTGCCCCTGTCGTCGTTTATAAACCGTTGATTACCTCGATTTTCGTTTTATCGACTCTGTCGGTACAATAATTCGCTCGAAAGTAAAAACCGAGCTCGTAAAACAATTCTCGTAAAGGAATAAATCGAAATCGGGATACTTGGCCAAAATTCATCAACGATGAACCGTTTCGTTTTCTCATCCTCCTAAACTCTTCTCTTCGAAAGATTCTGTCGCGATATTTCGTGCGTTGAATTGGCCCTCTTGAAAATTTCTCGGTGTGCGTTAATTCTCGCGCGCTCCCTTCGATCGTATCGTACGGATTAATTGTGACCGTTAATTGTGACCTCGAACGGACTATTGTGCGTGCGCCAAGCCGATAACCGTGCTTGATTGCACGATTAAAAATTAAAGATCGGCGCGCACCGCTTCCACCACCCGCTTCCATACACACTTTCATCAAGCTGCTTTATCTCTCTTTACACCGGGCTGCGTCGCGAAAATACATATTCTCTAAATTCAGGTCATTTGTGAATGGACTCTATTCGCGAGAACGAACGTCGAACTCATCCACCCCGTTGCCACGTTTACAAAAGCGCAACCTTGCTCGAAACGGAATCGTTCGTTTCCGCGCTTTTAAACCCGCCTCCTCACTGTTTATACACACGCATTGTGTGCAAAGTGATAACGATCGCGAGGACGGAAACGGGACGCGTCTTCTTTTTTTCTCACGTTTTTCTCACGTTTATGCGAGTTCAGAGGAGTGGGGGAAAAAATCGGGGGGCCCGAACCTTTTTCTTTTATTTTCACCCTCGTCGCACGAGGGTAGCGTTGAATTTTCAATTACGAAACGAAGGATGGAAAGGAAACGAAAGGATGAAGCGTACTGAATCGCGCCGTTTCGTGTCGTAAAATAAAAAGGCGGAGTAAAAAAAATGCATCGAGATAATAACAAATTCCGAGATATTCTTTTATTCTCTTTCGTTCGCGAGAAATGGAATTCGGATTCTCGAAATATTTCTGAACCAACTTAAAATAAAACTCGAATCGACGAAATTTTTCCGTCCGTTATCTCCGACGTTACACGAGCCGTAAAGCTCGTAATTGCGTGTGCTCGCGCGAAAAGTAGAAAAAGAAAAAGGAAAAAGGAAAAAGAAGAGGAGGAGAAGGAGAAGGAGAAGGAGAAAGAGAAAGAAGCAGGCGGTTTCTCCGTTGAAAAAAAGAGAATCGCGCGAATATTGAGCGACAGTTTGAAAAATAAAGGCATTATGCGAACGTTCCGCTCGGGATGATAATTTTTCAAAGGGTTTCTCGCGTGTCGCTTTCCCTTTTCGGCTCGTCGCCGTTCGTTTTGCGGAAGAGGCTAAGGGGAAAAAAGTCGAGCGATGGCGACGACAGGTGAAAGACTCGCACCTGGCCCCGTCTATCCACGCAAACTCTCAACTCTTCCTTCCTCCTCTTACCTTTTTTCCTTTTCCTCCCTCCCTCTCTCGCCACTTTCTCCCTTTCTTTGTTCCCGACCAGATTTTTCTAGCCCGATGAACCATAACGGTCGAACGAAGGTGGTCAACGCCTTCAAGATAAGCCTTTCCTTCGATCACTCCGCCTTTCAACAGGCTGCAACGATTCTTCTTCTTCTTCTCCAATCCACGATCTTACGTTAACGTCGTACGATTTCAATCGTATCCGATTTCGATAATTAATCGCCACCTCTGAATCTTTGATCGCATCGTCGCTATTGTTATGCCGATCGCATAATCCCTCCCCTCCCCGTTTATCCTTTCGCCATCGATCCAAGTATTTGAATTATTATTAACCGCAGAAACGACTTCCAACGAGAAATTTCTCTCTGTTCGCAGATCCGTTCGAGATGAGACGATTATCCCGGCTGTTTCTTCAAATCTTGTTCCTCGTCTCGATCGTAGCCTCGAGTTTGTCGGCGTCGACGAGGTCTCGAGGGGGGAAGAAGAAGGTCGCCAAGGAGGTGAAGGACGCCAACATATGCGAGATAAAGGGGATGCAGGCGCCCATGTATTGTTATTGCAACGACAACGAGTTGAGAAACGCCACGGACGCAACTTGCGTCATATTGAACCCGTTTACGAGCAACGATCCGACATGGAACAACTTCGACTCGCAGATCTACTTGCAAAAGCTCAAGTTTGTAGTTCGAACGCCGAACGGGTTGGATTATATACCGGTCCAGTTGCTCGCGCTGCTCAAGAACTTGCAAATTATCACGATTCAGGACGCGAGCATCAACGAAATCGCGGAATACGCATTTTCAAATCTGCCCATGATCACCGATATCAATTTAAGCAGGAACTCCATTTCGATCCTCAGGATGCACGCGTTCGAGAACATGAAAAATCTAACGGTCCTTTATCTGAGCGAGAACAGGATCACCGAGATAAATAGGTAGGAACACGATACGCAAAAAACGAAAAACTTCATCTTACCCGCCTCCTTATTTTCCCTTTAGTTCCTTTTTAGTTAGCAATATATAATCCAATCCAATCTGCATCTCGTTATTCATTACTCGCGATATTCACTCGCGCGGATCGATATTTCCAACGCTGTTGAATTTCGTCCTCATCGCTCTACCCCGTTTAATAATTCCAATTCCTACACTTTTATCAAACGCGATCTAAAGAAGAGAAAAAAAGAGTAGGATTAAAACTCGAAACGAAGTTTTCTCTTTCGATCTTTCGTAATTCGAAATCTGTGCCCGAAACGAAAGCTCGTTCTGGGCGCATAAATTCGCCCATCGAATTTCGCGATTGGCGTCGGCCAATCAACCAGTTTCTAGGGGCAAATCGAGTTCGCATCTCCGCGCGCGAATTTCCTACGTTTCGAAATCCGAATTATTCGCCGTTTGTTAGCCCCGTTAATAATAATTCGAATTACCAGATTAATCATTCGGGGGGTAACATTCCTGTGAAACTCTGTGTGACACGAGTGCTGTTATTAGTGCTTGTTGTATATTCCCCCGTATGTTACCCGCAAAGATTTTTCTCACATGCGCGAAATATTCGCCGCTTTCACTCGTTTCTTTCATGCATCCATTTTTACGTTCAACGTTATAAATAACACGTTATATCGATAAATTAATCGCGGGAAATGATTGGCGCGATAAATTCTGCGCGGATTGTTCAATTATATTTTCGCGACAAAACGTGCAGTTTATAGAGTGCAACTGGCAATTAAGAGTTAATCGATAAACTGGTTAACACGATTCCGCTCGTGTGTATCGGCCGTGTTATCGCCACCAGCGCAAACTTATCATCCTTGTTAATAAACAATTAAACGAAACGCATACAAAGTTTACCTTACCGATGCTCAAATTGACGAAACGTAAATGCAAAATCGATGCACAAGTGAAAACGTATCGATTGATTTACACTTTTAGATGGATTCACGAGAGAACACTTTGCATCGAATCTATTTTCCTTCCTTTATATATCTACGATTAATTATACACACACACACACACACGTAATTTCAAACGATCTCAAATAGCGCAAAATCTCCGCTTTATACGGTATCGATCTACGATACAAGAGCGATCGAATGAAATTACGTGTCGTGTAATCGTTAAGAGAGACGCTTAACGATTATCGAAAAATTATTTCCACTACCTTTCTATTCCTCTATCTTCAAGATGTCTCGTTAAAACGCCAACCGTGTGTACGGTGATTATGATTTCTGACGTATCTGACGTTATCGAAAATCGCGCCGAAGGGTGCGTCGTATCCTTACGTATATATTCATACGTAAACCCGCGACAACGCGACTCCTCGTTTCTCTTCCCATTTTCGCTCGAATGTTTCGCCCGCGAACAGAGAACGTCCATTTATCCATCCACCATCATTTTTCCACCCCCGAGATTAAACGGCAACCCGATCGATATTTTTATCTCGAGCGAATGAATTTTTCCAGATACCTTCAACTCTGCTCGTTCAATTTCCAGAGACATATTCGTGAATCTGCCCTCCCTGAAGAATCTCTATCTAAACGAGAACAACATCAATACGTTGCACGACAAGGCGTTCAAGCATCTCGCCTCTCTAAAGGAGCTGGACCTGTCCAACAATCAGATAAAGGTGATCACCGCGGACAGTTTTCACGGGCTGACGAGTTTGATCAGTTTGAATCTGCGGGGCAATCTAATCGCCATGATCGGTGATCGAACGTTTATCGAGATGCCCTCGTTGACGGAGTTGGAGCTGGATCAGAACGAGATCAAATACATCACGGAGAAAGCGTTGGACGGAATGAGGAATCTGAAGCAACTCACCCTAAGCGAGAACGAATTGGTTACTCTCGAGCCGGATTTCCTGGCCGGGGCACCGGCGGTCTACATGCTCAATTTGAGGGACAATAAACTCAAGACCATGACCTTCGACAATATCAAGCCCATCGTCACCAACTTGTACAACACCACCAGTCATTTCTACCTGAGCGGTGAGTCTTACTTTTTTTTTTTCCTCTCCTTTTCCCTCGTTTCCTTTTCTTTCTTTCGCAATTATATCACGAAATTCAACGCCTCGAATTCTCCCCAATTCACGATCCTTTCGTATATAAAGTAATTCAAATAGACGAGAAAATTGAAATCGATCGTTCGTAAGTTGCCACCAACTTTTATTCGATGCTATAAAAAAAAAAATTGTTAACGCGGCTGTCGCGATTTAAGGGATATCGAATATCTAAAAATCTCTTCGGTCAACTCACGCGGTCGAAAGATCGAGAGACGAGATGTTATCGCGGAAAATCCATTTTCCGATGCGTGCTTCGGAATTTTACGGCTGCTCGAGAGCCTGTCGATCCCCGTGCGGCCTTATCTTCCCCTTTCGAACGATTATCCACTATTTCGTCACTCGCGTCGCGTGAACGTATCGCTAAATTGTTTCCTTATCAAATTTTGCTTCCCCGTTTTGATCCTTATTTCAAACATTTGTACGAATATAATCGCGTGTAGAAGAATCGTGTAAGATATATTTAAAAAAGGGGATGCGAGCGATTTCTTTCCAAGTAATCGATCGATTCGTCACCCTTTTTAAAAATAATTTTAACGAAAATGTTTGTACACGTCCCGTATTTTATTAATCGTTCGCATTAATAGAAGACAAGGGTGTTTACGGGAAACTTGTGAAACGAATTTCACTTCGCTTTCGCGAATTTAGTTCATTTACTCGAGAGTTTCGCTTAGGCAAATTTGCGTTATTTGCAAGAGAGAAAACACATGCCCAGGGTAAATTATATACGATTAATATTAATACGCGTGTATATATATATTTACGAGCGAACCTTGACTAAATCTTTACCCGAATATTAGACGAGAGAAAGAGAGAGAGAGAGAAAAAAAGGATTATTTTCCATGGGAGCCAGTTGTGTCTAGTTTGAAATGTAAATAATCTCCGGCCCAATATTTCCAGGCGGTTTCCAATAGAGCAGAGGTCGGTCTGTCTTCCGCATCGTATTCCATCCATCCCGGAATTACCATAAAGTGGCAAAAAGATCGCTTCTAGCCATTCCCTCTCTTTCGAGAAGTAGGATGCTGCTGTAATTCTGCTCTGCTCGAATCGTTCGAATACGTTTTAAATCTACTCGTAAAAAGATTAATTATTTTCCGAGTCTCCGAGTTTAAACAAAATTAACGTTCGATTAAAAAAAAAAAAAGGAGTTTTCGAAGAAACAACCATTGGAAAATAACCATTTTCAGAAGAATATATCGAAAGGTATAACGACCATCTTTCCTCGTATTCTTGAAATTTCCGCGTATATTTCATATTCTATAATCGGATCGAGAGAATTTCAAGCATCGGAATTTTGGCGCGATGGGACTGCAAATGTGACGCACTACGTGTCAAAACGAGTTGGTTTAAATTGGACTAGACGGATCGAAAAGTTGACCAACTTTGCGGCAAATTCTGTCCCGAAGAAATTCTTTGAAACGTAATGTTTTTTTTTCTTTTTTTTTTTAAATAAGAGAAACGACGGAGCGACAATACCTTGTCGATTCGAACGAGACTTTTCGAGGAAAATTCGGTCATCGAAGATGAAGAAATCTGACGATGATCGCATATATATAGGATATACCTATGTATATTATCGAATAACGGAATATATCTTGGAAATAATCGTAATACTTTTATACCGATATTTAAATTGGAAATTTAATTTAAGCATGATCATTTCGATGAAACGATATAACTGAAATATATCGGATTACCTAAATGAAACTGACTAATTTTCCACCGATGTACTGATTATTCATTAATATAATTACCTAATTAGAATTCAATTCAATCCTGTTACGTACAGGTAAAGCGTTCTTCCTTGTAATCCAATCTTTTATATCTTTTATATATTTATTTTTACCTTCTCTAATTATCTTTCGTTCGAATTTAACGATATTGTTAAAATTAAATTAATCGTGTCGATTCTTTTTTCGCGATAAGATATATTAGAAACTACGATAATTGAAATCGAATTAACGAATTTTTCAAATAATTCAAATTAACATCTAATTACGGAAATATAGCGAAATTTATGCGTGTTTATATTCCAATTGCAAATTTTAATAATCTCTTTCTCTATTCGACAGGCATCGAATTGCGGTTTATTTAAGAATCGTTATTCCTTTAAAATTTTAAAGTTATCGTTAAATATGCACAATGGATAAATTCGAGAACGCATATAGAGGATTCTATTAAGAAAGACTATCTTTATATATAAGTGTTCATATTCGCTTTTGTATTTATATCGACTTGTTGATTTCTTTTTCATCATGCATGTTTTTATCGATATAAATTATGCACTTATCCATTATTTTTCCCCATTTCATTTATCTTCAACGATTTAATTTTAAGTAATTCTTCACTTAAGAGAAGAATATAAATACATCTTAAACGATGGTCAATTTAAATCGCGCGCTAAATTCGTACTCGATATAACATGAAACGATTCGTGTTATTTATATATATATATATATATTATTTTTTTTTATTCGTTTTTTTTTTTTTCGTAACGAAATCAAAATTTGTATCGAAATAATTTATAATGAAATATTCCTTTATGGAATGTCAATTTTAATTTGATTACAATGCAATATATTTGAACTATTAAATTAAATTCTCGCCATTTTGTCCAGAAAGTAGACAGTGATGGATCAATTCTCGTTAAAGACAAAATTCGATCTGTTACAGAGAGAGAGAGCGATCAAGTTTTCAATTAAATTTATATATTAAATTTTGACGTGACATCAACTTAATACCGTATAATAATAATACACGTACAAATTATAGATAAAATAAATTGTAATAAAAATAAAACAACATCGAATCCATTTAACTTCAAAGCCATTAATAATTATCCTGGCCTATAATAATCTACATAATACGCCGATTAATACGCGTATTAATACAACGATTAATCAAATCAACCATAACCCAAATTCTAAGTCCGATTAATAGCAATCGATCGATTAATTTGAAAATAATAATCCATCGAATGCTATTAGCCGTTGCTATACCATCGAATTTCATTATATTTCGATTATTTCGATTATAATTATCTATAATCGAAATAATCGATGTAATTCCTTTTTCTTTTTCTCGCGAATTTCTCCTCTGCGTTCGTTCTCATCCTTCGTTCGCCAAATTCTTCGTACTAGACATATTAGACGTTGAATATACGTCTCGTTTGGCGAGAGATATTCGAGCGGAATATTCGGTCAGATATCGAGGAAAGATTCTGACGCAGTCGATATTCCACGCGATTTTTTATTAGTTTTATTATTCGCCTCTTTTCGCTTCACTTGGATAGCCGGATTCTCGGATAAAAGACATTTATATTTTAAACGATTATTATTTTTCTTTCCTCTTTCTTCTTTTTATTTTTATGTAGATCTTTTTATACGAACAATATAATCAAGAAATTTTACAACAAACAAGTTTTAACGATCAATCAAAGATATAATATCGAGATAAGATTCTTTTAACGATTCTCTCGATACTTTGTAAAAATTCGCCAAACTTCTTCCTCTTCTTCTTCTTTTTCCTCTCGTTAGCTTTATCAAAGAATTCACAGTTCCACTTTATGATCATTAAGAAAATTAAGAAAATAAGATCTCCTTTTATTTTCTAAAAATTCAAGCGCATCCTGTTTAAATTTATCAAAGTTATTTAACGAAAAAAAAAAAAAAAGAAAATAGTAGCTCGATGGAAGAAGAGGATTGGAACGATAAATGATTTCAAGTTTTTCAACGATAATTTCTTACAAGACGCGTTACGCGTGTCTCGAATATATTACTTTTATCGTGGTTCATCGTTGGATTATTTATCTTTGAGAAATATCTTTATCTCCCTTCTCGAATGGATTGGATGGTATTTCGCAACGTGGCTACGAAATTTTGCAAGCATAAATTGCACGATTCTCACGATTGCCACGGCAAGATATCGCGAATGCTATTCTCCCGGTTATCGGCGAAGCAACCGATTATAGGAAATACGTACTTGAATATGTACGCCACAGGTGGCACACAGATGCTCCAATATTTAACTCCGATATTGTTCCTTAAAGTCACCCGATATTACGTTAGCTATGAGCTATTTACCCGTGTACCCGGTTCAACACCAATTTTCCTTCCAAATTATGAAATTACCATCGAAAACGATAATAACTGTCTTCTATAAATTCCATTTATACAAATTCCTCGTTACAAGAAACAAGAGAAATTTAAAATTAAAATATAATCTAATTTCTGCTTCTGCTTCGTCGAATTCGTATAAGCGAATATAAAATATAAAATAATCGATTTTTCTTCGAGAATAATACTTCCATCCGATAAATAATTTTCTTCCTTGTTCCTCGTGTTTGAACGTGAGAGAGAGAGAGAGAGAGAGAGAGAGAGAGAGAGAGAGAGAGAGAGAGAGAGAGAGAGAGAAGAAGAAGAAGAACGTAA